TCTCCATGGGGCAGATGAACGACCAATTTGCCGAGTCGAAGACCATGACCTATGACGACGCGAACATGTACTCATACGGCAACGATACTGGGTCAAGGTCAATGACGACGACCTCCCGAGCACGAGGCACGAACGGGCATGGATATACCTACAGTTCGGACTATGAGGGCGCAGATGACTCAAGCAGGATATCAAGTCAGCCCTCCCGTGGTCGAAGAAGCAACAGCAGCTCTGGTTTCCAGTCCAGCCTGGGCCGGATCAACAGCATGCGCGAGTCGTCAACCCATCAGCGGAGCGTTCCTGGTACACCACGACCGTTGCACTCGAGAGGAGGAAAGGGCAGCAAGAGCAGCAGCACAAACAGCATCGATGCTGGCGGGTATGCGCAGGTTCTCGGCAGCCAACGCTGGGCACATGGCTTTGGCGGTAGGTCGTCAAGCTTTGATTATGGACACAGGCAGTCCACCAGCAATCCGCCGCCCCAGCAGACCCATCAACAACCACAGCAGCCTTCGTGGCATATCGAATTCTCCAACTCCTTTTTCAACGAGGACTACGATGCCGCTCCTACACCTACCGTACCTGGAGGACCTCGCAGACTGCAGACAGCACCCTCAATGCCTTCTTTCCCTCCGCCGCAACCGATGGTCGAGCCCAAGTCCCCCGTAAAACCGAGTGTCGAACGGAAGCGAAGCACAAGATCCTCTCGGAGCGCTACCGTTGGAAGACAGGCCCAATCTAAGTTCAGTGCAGGTCGCGACGTTCCCCCCATGCCTGTCGTTGACTTGGATTCTGCTCCAGCGCCACACGTTGGATACGAAAAATCGAAGGAGGTGCTGCAAGGGGGCATCCCGGCCTCGGCGTCGCAAGTCAAGGAGAAGCAAGGGTTCTTTAGAAGGGTGTTCGGATCATCGAAGAACAGCCTTGTCGCAGCACTGGATTCGTCCATGAATTCACACTCGAATTCTTCGTTTGCTTCCTCTGCATCGGCTGGTAACAGCCAGCAGAATATCACCTCCCCGATGAAATCATCAAGCAGCGCCCCGCCATCACGCGAGTCACACCACTCAACGCACGTGTTACAAAAGAAACCCTCAAGCTTCTTCAGGAGGAGGAAGAAGTCAGTTGCCGAGCCGGAACCGCCACCGCTGCCTGTACCTATAGTCCGGGCTCCAGTGAATTTCCCAGTCGAGACGGCGATAGCTCCTGCAAAGCCAGAGCCAAGTCCGGTTACTAGCCTGCGGAAGGCTATGAGCCCGTTCCTGAAGGGTAGCCCGACAATGCCAAACGCATTCGTGCAAAGCGGTGATCCATCGCCTGCAGAGGACGTCCTCGAAGACCCGCTATCGAGGGAGGTTGATCGAGACGGCAACGACGACGATGAGGTGGAGGAGCCGCGGGTCAGGGGCTTTTCGCCCGACTACGAACCGGATCCGAAAGCCACCATCCGCTCTGTTCAACCCGAACCTAGGGGTAGGGATTTTGCAGGCGCCGGGAGCGAGCCTAAGCGTGGCGTCGAAACCCCAACGCGACAGCCTCCCGAGCCGCCGAAGAAGCATCAGCAGCCTTCGCGAAGTGGGTCGTTCTTGCATGACAACAGTGAAAGCGAAGACAGTCCTAAGCGGGTCGTCAACAAGCCATCTAGATCTTCCATCGCGCGCAGTCGTGATAGGTCTCCGACTAATGGCAATCGCACATCTGGCCTATTATCTCCAAACATCGACAAACCTCTACCTTCCCCGAGCACCATTAGGGATGATGCAACATCAAAGGCTTCTGAGAAGATCCTTTTGCAAAACCCCGATGAGCAGGATTTGAGGCCAACTAGCCTAACCCTTCCGATTGAAGGCGCCGTATCAGACGCCAATGGATCCTTGAAATCCGCGTATAAGTCTTCAACAAGCTTACCCAGCGTGAAGGTCGAGTCGTCGAGGGCAGAGTCGGAGGATCCCCGAGACGCTAAGAGCGACAAGCCTATTGACGAACCTGAGTTTGTGATCGGAGATCCTACAGAAGATGATAAAGCGAAGGCGCAGAGGATCTTTGACGGCAACGAAGATTTCATCCAAAAGGAGAAAGCAGCTGCTTGGATGGGCGAGGAGGGACCTCTCCGCCAGCGAACTCTGCGCGCATACATGGAACTTTATGATTTCACTGATAAGAGCGTGCTCAGTGCCCTTCGCCAAGTCTGTGGTCGGTTGGTCTTCCGAGCAGAAACACAGCAGGTTGATAGGATCCTGGTTGCCTTCTCAAAACGATGGTGTGACTGCAACCCGAACCACGGCTTCAAGTCCACTGATGTTATCCATACGATTTGCTATTCAATTATGCTTCTCAACACGGATCTTCATTTGGCCGATATCGAGTCAAAGATGACCAGGAGCCAGTTCATCAAGAATACTATGACTACAATCAGACAAGCAGTGGCAGATTCTGTCCCGGAGGCCTTCGAGCGTTCTAGCATAGTCCCTAGCAAGAGCCAGAATCTTGGTGTGGACGGAGAAGGCCGCGCTTCAGTGGATCAAGACAGAACATTGAGCTTCCGGACATCATTCAAACCTCCTCCGAGATCTGAATCTCGCAATGGCATGGCATCTGATGGAACTGATGACTGTGGCCCACTAGTCAAGGCTCCGTTTGAAGGTTCACTGAAGGCTTGGGAGTCGCAGATGGATATTGTTCTGAAAGACACTTACATGTCGATACGGGACGAGCGTCTTCCTTTATATGGTGCGGAAGCAACACCTATCCAGTCACAGAACAGTCTGTCAGTCATCGGCATGTTGAAACGGACTCCGAGCGTGCTCAGCAAGGCACCATCTGAGAACTCTTCCTCTCGCGGACGGGTATCCGAGAATGCCAAAGGCAATGGCAATAGATGGACGTCGAAAAGCCGATCTAGACCAAGAGCATTTGGCGGCACAGGCTTCTCATCTAGTAGGACTAGCTTCGATGACGGCAACTCTGTCTGGAGCCCGGCCGAATCCTCTGCCACATGGAGTCGTGCCTCACTAGGTCGGACGCATACGTCAATGTCAATGGATTCGTTTGGATCTTCTTGGCCACGAGGAGACTTCCACCAGTCTATCGGTTTTGCAAATGCTCTCAGCCAGGCGATCATTCGCGATGATGCCCTTGGTAGTTCTCAGTCGCTTGTTAGCGATGAACTGAAGAACGCCCAGTTGCTTGAAGATGAGTCATTGGAGCTTGCTGGTCCACCATGGGTGAAAGAGGGAATTGTGATCCATAAGCACCACCTAGACGGGATCGACAAGAAGGCGAAGGACCGCAACTGGACAGAAGTCTTCGCAGTTATTCAGAAGGGGCAATTGAGTATTTTCTCTTTTTCCCCGAACAAATCTCTGGGTAGATCTAAGGCACGAGCGGCTCGCAATACTCAGCCAGTCCAGAAGGGCGCCGTTGTTGGAGGGGGCAACTGGCAAGAGAACGCGACAAATCTGGGAACCTTCAGTCTTCGACAGACACTTGCTTCAGCTCTTCCACCACCGGGCTACTCACGTCAGAGGCCGAATGTTTGGGCTCTCAGCTTGCCTACTGGGGCAGTTCATTTGTTCCAAGTTGGCACGCCGGAAATAAGCAAGGAGTTTGTCACGACAGCGAACTATTGGAGTGCGCGTCTGAGCACACATCCCCTGGTGGGAGGTATATCGAATATAGAGTATGGATGGAGTGAGGCTATCGTCAACAACTCTCTGGTTTCGGCGATCAACGAGTCGACAAGCAGCATTGCACCGGGCACTAGGGGCGGCTCGCGTCCCGGAAGCAGTGCAGCTGGTGCAATTGGTAGCTCAAGCATCAATAATGGCCGTACGAGCATGCATTCGCGGGGAAGTAGTTTCCGCTCCGTTGGGTCCTTTGACTTTGGCAGTTCCGGGCAGACAAATTCCAGCGGGCGCGGCAAGCTGCCTGGGGACAAAGTACACATTGCTGAGTGGACACCACCCACACAATCGATGCGTCCATCAAATTCCGCAGAGAAGGAGCAGCTTCAAACTCTACTTGCATACGTCAAGAGCATCGAAGACGAGCTTCAGCAACATAACGCGTTGCGCAGCCCAATGCTGCTTGCCTTCACGCCTCGCGGCCACAATGCCGCTAAGGCCATGGCGAATTGGGAAAGAAAAAGCTCTTACTTGCTCAGAGAGATCGTAAAGTTTAGGACGTACGTCGACTGTCTCCAGCAAGCGGAGACACGTAAGGGGGAGATTTGGCAGGAGAGAGAAATCGCGCGACGCGCAGCACGAGGAGAAAGTGGCGAGAGTTTCGAAATCGACCGAACTGGTCAAGGCCTAGACGGGCACAATTCGGACGACGATGCTGACGAGACATTGCGGCCATAGCCGTATTATAAATACAATTGGGACCGGACTTCACTTCTGACATACTATATTATATAATACTTCCTGTTTGGCCAGGTCAGGACAGCCGACTTTACGGTGTCCTATTACTTTTTCGGTTAGGACGAAAGACGAGAGCGAGCGGGCGTTGGCGGGCCGGTTTTTCGTGTGTATTTGTACGAGTAGTCATTCTGGTTCTTGATACCCGAGAATAAAGCACAGCGGTGTTTTGTACTTGACAATACTTCTTTTTGCACACGTGAGTTTGTCTCACAAGACAGCCATTGATCATCGAAAGAGCATTAAATACAGAGTAGATGTATTCGCCAATCACCAAGTAGACTCCAACCCATTCACGCCCTTTGGCTTATCCGCCAAGGTGGTGATCCTGAAGCCATGCCTAAGGCCTTCCTGGGGTTTGTGTACATCATAATCAGATATGGCAGTGTGAGCCGTTACTCGATTGTCCCACAATGCTACCGTACCTTCTTCCCACTTGACGCGAACCTGAAAGTCCTGGCCCTGCCTGATGTGCTATTTGGCAGAGATTCTTGTCAGCAGTCTGTTTGAGGAGTTTTGGGTATACATGTATGTGCACACGTGGGGAAGGAGGATAGCAAGACCGGGCGAGATAAATAGGGGCTAACGAACCTTGAACAGCAGCTTCAGCAGCGCATCCGACTCCTCTTGCTTGACGCCCTCGATCCGCTTCGTGAAGCCCGGGTTGACAAACAGCGCCTTCTGCCCCGTCGCGGGATGGATGCGCACAAGCGGGTGCGAGCTCTGGATCGGCTCGCGCCGCACGTGCTTGCCGTCGCGCCGCGCGCCCTCGGCCTGCGGGAAGCCGCTGTGCACGGCGCGCAAGCCCTCGAGGAGCTTCTGGATGGGCTCGCTGAGGCGCGCGTAGGATGCCGTCTGCGAGGCCCAGGCGGTGTCGCCGCCGGTGGGAGGCACGGACAGCAGCGTGAGGATGGTCACGCCGGGCGGCTGGTGCTCGTATGAGACATCGGAGTGGTAGCCGACGGTCGTGAGCTTGTCGAGCTTGTTACGGTTGCGGTACTCATTGTCGGGGCCGAGGTAGATGTTGTGCAGCTCGAGATTGTCCTTGACATGTGCGCCGACGGGCTATTTCCCGTGTGTTAATCTCGTGTAATACAGGAGAAGGATGAGATTGAAAAGTCGCGCAGGCAAAAAAGGAGAAGGATGCTGAGTGGACTTACATGAATGTGGAGGGGTCCAAAGTGACGACCGAAATCCTTCTGTTTCTCGACGCCAATGTCCTTGAAGTCTTGGTCCCGGAAGATGACCACCCCGCGCTCAGCGATGAGCAGGGCTAGCTCGTCACGCTGCTGTTCGTTGAGCTGACTGAGTTGCTGGCCACGGATCTCCGTGCCGATGACGGGCGTCAGTTTGGTTGCCTTCACAGATGAGTCGTTTGGCGGCAGCAGGTTTGGCTTGTCCTTGTTCGCGGAAAGGCCACGGTCCTTAAACTCGAAGGGCTCGATAGGTGGGAAGGTTGTCTTCTCATCATAGACAGGAAGATAATCACTGTATTTGTACTATTGAGAAGGGCATTAGAGTGTGCGATGAGGTGGGCCGTGATGAAGTTTATCAACTTACCTCGTTATGCAGAGAAGTGTCAAAGGCAAGCGTCAAGTTCTCGGGAGCTTTGCTCTCAGTTTGGGTGGTTGTTGTCGACATGCTGTAAGACAATGTTTAAGAATCACTAATAAAGTTACACAGGTGTGAAGCCCGTGTGCAGAGAGCTTGGGACAGAATGATATGGAGACCTTAAATACTAGCCGTACCATCAAAATGCCTAGACAATAGCTTGACAAGCTTGTGAGGGGTTCAATCACGTCGAGCGCGATCGCGATGTTGAGATCGATGAGACCATCTTCCACCATTCACCTCTTACAAGCGTGTGGGGGTTATCTTGCATGCCCCGGATATCGATATGTCTTGAAGAAAAGCCAAGACGCATATTTCAAACCACCATCATTGTACTGGCCGATGGATGTCGCTGCCGAATCGCTACCGATGCGGTAGCGGCAGCCGAGTATGGACACTGTTGTTTGGGAGCTACGAGCTTTAAGTATGTTGGGGTAAGCTCAACCTTCAATCCAGTGGCATCTTTGGATGAACAGTGCACACCCAGTAGTATTGCGGGCGCCCCGTAGCGTGGAATTCGAGTGTTGAAGATGGGTTGTCGTGATTATGACAGAAATGACGAAAGTCTCCGGGTACGAAGCCGGCCAATTGGTCAACGAGGATACGGCGCCGAGCGGCTGATCGGCGTCACTACTAGGCGCCCGGCCATCTGAGGCGGGAGACTACCGGCATCGGCTTCTGTCGTTCACACACACAATGACAAGGAATAACTACAACTTCGTCTTTGACAGGTTATTTAGGTCGTCTCGAAATTAAAAGGACACGGTGGAAGATGTGTTGAAGAAACGGTAGCACTAATCTGTTTCCTAGCAAAGAAATAAGCTAGCAAGCGACGCCCGGTAAGGTGCATGTTGCCAATATCTCATGTATGACGATAAATTTGTAACTACACCTACGAGTTCCTCATGGATGGATAAAGCAAGCGAGATATTCGACTTCTGAGGATCAAGATTCTCGTATATTGTTGCGAAATTGAATGAGAAGAATAACCCCTGACGATTCATATTATACCGAGCAATTGCTGGAATTCTGCAAACAAGCCCGAAGGGATAGGCCACACTCCTCGTTACGACCATTTCCCCAGAAGTCTCGCATCGGCCGTCATGATCAAATAACGTTATTGTTGATCTCGTGATCTGTTTTGTTGACAACGATGAATCTTTGGGTATTTTATTAAATGGAATACCATAGGCAAATCACCTACTAAGAGATATTTGCTTTTCGTGGATGTGACGGGCTGAATTGCTAAGATGGCATTAACTGGACAATCTGGTGCTAGGAGATAGCAAATGCGAAACTTTAGTGGAGTGCATCTGCAAATGGAAAATGCTGCAGTTGGAAATCCAAGCGTCTAGCTCTGATTTGTAGAATGAGGGATGTGAGCCAAGACATTGTAAGATGACATCAAGGGATGATCCCGAACTGAAGGATCTGTAAATTCAGGATTCTTCAACAGTCCTCCGTGGATGCAACATGGGCAATTGGCCATCATTCAAATACAACGGCCCTATTTCTTCTCCAGATAGAAACAAACGTGAAACATACTGACACACACAACCAATACATAATCCTGATAACGTCTAGAAGACGAGCTCCGGGCCTTTGATATGGCGTCAATAAGCTCTAGCGATATAGACGCCAGAGTGCACAGAAGTCTTCTGAATACGAATTTCAACCCTTATGACTTTGAGCGGCTTCCAGGAGGTTCCGTAAATTGGGTTTATCTTGCGAAATTATCAAACGCCCTCAATGATGGGACAACAGAGGTTTTAGTGAAGCACGGAGAGACACAGATGGCTACAAAGCCAGAATTTCCGCTGACTTTATTTCGTTGCGTATGATTTTGGACCTTTTTTTTTAGCACTCTGCTCACTCTGCACTTCTTTCATCCAGACTAACATGTCTTAGCGTATTGAGGTGGGTGTACTAAAGAGTCTTTCCGATGCTTCCGCTTGGGGCGAAACTGATCCGGCGGATACTTATACCTTTACTGTCCGGACGCCGAAGTTGTTTCACTTTGATGAAGAGAACACGAACCAAATCCAAGAGTACCTATCTAACGGGATCGACCTGAAGGAGTATGCTCTGCGGCATTACAGTGGCCCAACCGCCGAGTCTTTCCAGCCCCAATGCCGTCAGCTAGGAAAGGCGCTGGGTAGATGGCTCAAAGGCTTTGTAGAATGGAGTGCGCAAGAGGTTGATCTTCGAGAGCTCATAGCTGGAAATACCTTCGCACAAGATGTTAAACACATGCTCAATTTCTTGTGGCTTCAAGACCGCATTAAAGATTTCCCAGCTATCTTAGACGACGTAGGAGAAGTCCTTGGAGAAGTCGAGCAGATGGCTGCTGCAGAGAGACAGGACACAAGTAGGCACATGATCATTCACGGCGACTTTTGGACAGGAAAGTAAGTCAACACACAGTTTATTTGCCATGTGATTGATGTTCAGAGCTAAATTAGATCGTAGTGTTATTCTACCTAATGTCCCGATCACAAGCGGCATCGACGTGCCCATGTTCGTCGTCGACTGGGAATGTACTCAGCTTGGACTGCCTAGTGTCGATTTCGGGCAGATGATTGCTGAGATGTATGCCTTATGGCTATACAAGTCGATAACCGCAGGGTTATGGATGATGGAAGAATTTATCGATGCATATGGGCACGTCAGCGATGGATTCGCTTTTCGTACAGCAATTCAGACAGGTGCACATCTCCTATGCATCACCACAACATTTCCGGGCTGGGGAACTCCTGACCAGATTGAAGAAGTGGCTCGTGTGGGCAGGGATATTATCATCCACGCCTGGAAGAAAGATCGCTCTTGGTTCGAAAAGGGCAACTTAGCGGGGTTATTCAGGCAGGCTACATAGATTACAACCTATGTATGAACATGAGTTATCAGAAAAGGCTCAGGGAGCAAAATTACAAATATACGAAGGTCCAGTATTCAAGTTACAGACTTGAAGTCAACCACGTAAGAGCGAAAACGAGTCTTGAAAGTCCAATGTATCACAACTTTTAACGAGTCGAAAATGAAAAGGACATCTAAAATTTCAGACTACCACGTTGCAGTGTGTAGTAGCCAAGCTACACCCGACTCGGGGAATGGTCACGACGTAGACCTGGAATTAGCCTGGACATAAATTTACGCAAACAGCCGATAAGCGAAAGGTACAATAATAGACCTACAATTAAGCTTCTTGTGGAGATCACGACCATATTGCATACAGCTATTGTACCGTCAACCAATGACCGCGGGGCAAATATACCAACCTCCGTGTCTGTTTAGCTCGGCCGGAGCTCTGGCACAGTGACAACAAGATGATGTGGTGGGATCAATTTCGATAATTTACAAACGAATGGCAACTTGGGAGTCTCGGCCTGGGGTAGGCCAATCCCTCAGCTTTAATGAGTAGCTTCACTTTATAACGGTTCCGGCGACGATCATCCGGGTTGTCCTGAAGGTCCAACCTACAGGGTTTGCAGTAACGTAGCGCTTTAAATGCCCAAGACCGCCCATCAATGATTATATGAAGACATAGAGCTGTGCCCACCATTTGTAGAAAATTTTCAGCCATAGCGCAACGCAGTATTGGGGCCAAGGACCTGAGTCAACCGCAACTACTATGGTCATCAAAATGGGACCTGGCGCAGTATATCGGGTTATACTTGCCTTTAGCGTCTCAACATGCTTCTCGACGGCTCTAGGGAGCTCGCTTGAGCAGCGAGCTGCATGTACACGAAGCACCACAGCAGAGAGCGGGGATACTTGCGCCTCAATTGCCGCCCGTGAAGGCGTCACAGTGGCAGATATCATCAAGTATAATCCATCGATTACGAGCTGTTCTAAGCTTACCGTGGGCGGGACATACTGTCTGGAAATGACGGATTCAACGGGTGCAACTAGCACCGCTTCCAGTCCTTCCACATCAGCGGCCACTTTGAAACCGAGCGTTGACGGTGACTGTGGTAATGGCGTGACCTGTATCGGTTCGAAATATGGTGACTGCTGTTCTGAGCACGGATATTGCGGCAGAACCGATTCATATTGCAGTGTTGGATGCCAAAGTGCGTTCGGGTTGTGCAGCGGGACCCCAAATGAACCTGACGAGCCGACACAAACAATACCGTCGAGTACGAGCACTGCACCGGTTGGTGCTGTGACAAGCACTATATTCCAGACTGTGCTCACTACTGTCACAATCACGTCTACCAGTCAGCTAGTCCAGCCAACTACGAGTGTTGTCCTTGCAACATCTGTCAAGACATCGACTCGCTTGATTACCCAAACCACAACAAGTATTCTGGTTGTGACCAACACAATCACCACGATAAAGACTATTAGCTCGTTTGCTGGAGGTGGTTGTGGACCAGCTGCAACCCCAACTCCCAATGTGCCCACGCCAACACTTCCCAACACTTCAAATAACTGTAAGTCCGAGCATGGTCACTCGTAATGAATGATTTGTTAACAATGATTTTTAAGGCAAGAAGTACTACCAGATCGTCGAAGGAGATACATGTGCCGGCATTGCCAACGATTATCAAGTTACCCTAGCTAACTTGTGAGTTTCCCGTAGCGGCTTCCGGAGACGCTATACTAACAGTGGACGCATAGTTATCGATGGAATCCATCTGTTGGCCCAGCCCTTGGCACCTTGTTGTGTGCCTCGCCAATCATAGATATGGTTATTTCCGGTCTTTGTAAAGTAAACTGTGATAATCTGTGGGCTGGATACTATGTCTGTGTAGGTACTTAGAAATTGTCTGCCTCTGGGTGTACAACACGATTAGGGCATGCTCCAATTTTCGAGGACGCCTTTCATTCGGACCAACAATATCTCTAATTCTAGATTAACAGTGAGATCATACACAAACATTAAGCACACTTGTGATAAACTGGGTAATTATCCATTAAATCTCAAGTCAACTCTCGATCAAGCTGTTTCATGGGAAACCCTTCATTATAATAGTGAAGAAGGCTGAGTTTCGAGCGCCATGTGACGGACGGTAAGAACCCTTGTACCAATTCACACTGGAACTCAGCCGCATCGTGGCGCAGCCACACTTCATCTTTTATCAGCTGCCAACGCACCTCCCTTGTTCTTCGATGCTCACAGAGGATACAGCAACTGAATGAATGAAAAAAAATCTACTAGGACCATTGATTTAGTTTATTACAACATTTATAACAATGGGAAACGATCAAAGTCAGTCGAGCAAACATGGGAGTTCCCTCTGTCATCATTGCCAGTCATTGGATTTGGCGACAATTAGCCAGCTGAAACTAGCACATGAAAGTCTTTCGGATACCATTTGGGACCGGAAGAGAAAACATACCTGGAAGATAGAATGGCAGGATAGTGAAGAAGCAGATCTCCAATGTACACTCTGCAGGATATTACGCATGTACGGAAACAGACTCGGCGCGCATTCGGCTCACACTTTCTTCAAATGCGAGAGAGTGGAAAACTCGGTTTTATTTGAGTCTATTACCATACTACCACTCTTCTACTGCCCCACCTCAAAGACAAACAGACTAAGGATTCCAACTACGGTATATATGGTCGAGTAAATTATAACCTGATTCGACGGTGGATGAAAAGCTGCAATGACAATCATAGTGCCGCGTGTCTGAGCCAGTTCGGCACACCAATGTCCGCTTTCAAAGTCATTGATAGTACGACAAGACGGATTGTTACAGCCCCAGAGGGATGCAAATATCTGGCCCTTAGTTATCTTTGGGGCCATCAGAGCACTACAAAGGAACAGCAGCATTTCAGTCAAGGCAAGCTTGATGATCATGTACCACGAGTTGTTAAGGATGCTATAGAGGTGGCACATGAGCTTGAGATAGGATATGTTTGGGTCGATAAATATTGCCTCGACCAGTCCGACAAGCCGGAGAAGCAAAAGCTGATCCGTCAAATGGATCAGATCTACCATGATGCTACAATAACTATCATTGCGGCAGCAGGCAATGATGCAGAGTACGGTCTACCAGGTGTATCAAATGTCTCCCGGAACGAGCAAATGTCCATCGACATTGGGAATCGCAAATACTTAGTCTTTCCAGACTCTACAAGAGAGGTGCGACAGTCCATGTGGGCGACCAGAGCTTGGACGTACCAAGAGGCACTACTTTCACGCCGTCGTCTCGTCTTTACCAGGGAACAAGTCTATTTTCAGTGCATGAAAATGCATTGCTGGGAAGGCCTCAGGGCCCCCTCTACCGCTTTGCGGCGCATGAGATATTATCAATGCTTTCCAGAAGACGGCATCGGCAAATACCCTCGTGATATCGTCAAGCGTTTGAATGAGTATGCGTCGCGACAGCTGACATACGAATCAGACGCATTGAATGCGTTCCTTGGCATCTTCCGACCCTACGAACGCAAGAATATCTATCATTTCTGGGGTATTCCGTTCTCCTTCACAAACGATAGAGATACAAATATCCACTTTGCCACAGCTCTGGGCTGGACTACACGATTGCCCGACCGTGCTAGACGGAGAGCATCGTTCCCGTCTTGGAGCTGGGCTGGATGGGGGCAGTTGGACAACCTAACCATCCCATGGGAAAGTGAAGGGCACTTCACGAGCCTCAAAGCTGAATTTCAGATTCAAGTGAATGACTCTTCTAGGAATATCATGACGCTACCGCAATATGCTCGACGTATTCAGAGTGGGGCTGACTTTTCAGATTTCCCGCCGATCATCTCTTTGAAAGGACGAGCTTCTAAGTGCCGTGTGGGCAGCCCATGGAACGTCGAATGTGACCTTCCTTCTGAATTGACATCCACGTATGCTGTGTCAATAGTGCGACTGATGGGTGTTCCTGAAACTGCTTACAGTGGGTTTGTAGACGAATCGCTAGAGCTTCTGTACATCGGCTGCCAGAACTCCTCGAGCCTCTTCTTCAGTTTTCTCATCGTCCAAAAGCAACAGAATAGTGCTTTCTATGCTCGCATCGGTACATTGAATGTGGTTCTGAGTCGTTGGGTTGACAGCCACATCACGGATATTTCACTAGCACGACGGGTCACTCATCCCCGTAATGAGCTTCTCGAACCAACTTTGCATCGGATTGTTATGCAATATTTGGCAGACAATTGGGAGTTGAAGGCATTTCTTGTAGAGTAGTCATCGCAAGTACCTTGGCTCAGAAGCCTTATGTTAGCCCAGTGCTTGCTCCTAAAGCGCTATATACTCTGTTCTTCAGACATCTTTGTTGGAGAGGTGTATCATAAGACTTGTAACAACAAGCTCACATGCACGTGGCTTTTGATTGAGGCATTAAATATGTCAAGAACATGCCTTCGTTGCAAGGATCCATGCATGCATTGTCTATTGAGTCTGCTATATTTACACGAAAAGAATATCTATGCTACACTGTGTCAGAATAAAAACATCTTCAGGCCAAGGCTTGCTTGGCCGAGGTGTAGGCTCGAGCACTCTTAAAGTTCAGAACAGGTTTGGTCCAGAAAGCCAGACATGTGTTCCCATAGCCACCAGGCTTGAAGGCTTTAGTGCAGTGCACGGCGAGTTATGGTGCGGACGCCTCCGCAACGGATCGGAACGGTTGTGGTAGTGGGAGCAGCAGTTGGTGCTGGCGCGTCGGAGGTCTCTGGAAGAGCAGCAGCCGAGCTAGTCGGAACAACTGTGACGAGTGTGGTGCCCACAGTGGGAGCGGCAGTAGTCGGAACTGCAACAGTCGGCTCAATAGCAGCAGAGCTGGAGGCTGAGGCTTCAGCTGCTACGGAACTGGTAGCAGCCGGGGCTGGGTCCGATGAACCCCCTTCGAGAGTGTCAACCTCTGGCCCGGGAATCGGGTAACTGGTGAAGGTCGTGTAGAGGTTGAAATGAATGCCTGGATCAGCGTAGGTATAGCCAGTGTTGAAGTCGAAATTCTGGCTGGGGACGGCGGTACCGGAGCCAGTGACCTCCAGCTGAATGCAGCCAGGGTAGAATTGAGCACCACGGGCAGAGTTCACGTCGAATGTGGCGTCAGCCTCGTGGAGGGCAATGATCTCCTGGCGGAGAAGATATTTGCCGGCTTTGAGCGAAGAGGGAATTGTAATATCATTCTTGCCCGAATTAGCCTTGAGCTTGTCAATAGCCCATTGCGTGCCGTCGAAGCCATCCTCTGCGATCTTAGTCCAGATGGCCGAAGCGCCATTTGTTGCCGTGTATGGAGCGATGTAGGTTATGATGGGACCTTTGTGGCTACCATCGATGATGTCGTCGTTACGGTTGTCATGAAACCACTCGATGCTGACCTTATCACCGGCAGCTGCTGTGACAAAGCTTCCAACTTCAGTACCGCCGTTGACATTACAGACAAGATCAGGACTGGCGAGGTCTTTGACGGGGCTGTTGTTCGGTGGCGATCGAATGTCTACAAAATATCAGTTTATAACGATCGAAAGAAAAAAAATACTTGATCTATCAGACTCATAGAAAATTCATGTCTGAAATGAAAAAGTGATAGCACTTGAAGTATGGCTGGCAAAATTGGATCGGTTTCACTCACAAACTTTTTGGCCGTTCCCCTGATCAACATCGTTGACCCACACACCGAAGATCTGCGCATGGCCCAGGGCGGTACCAGCAAAGGCCAGTGCAGCAAACCCAGCTGTGAAATGCATGTTGTTGTCGCTTTTGTAAATCAACTGTGCTTCGAGAATGTTATGGTTTGATCGAGTCTTGAGCTGGAACTGAACCAAATAGCGAATGTGAAAGGTCTGTATAAGGAGCGTAGACGACTGTCAAGTCAGAAAAGAACGAATGGCTCAGCCAGAGAGCAAATGAATGGATATTGAACAAGAAGAACCAGAATGCTGATGCAGCTGATGAGGCTCGAAATTGGCAACTGAACAGCAGCCTTCGAGGCTTAAGTATGTCGGCGAGGACTTGTAAGCGAGCTCATCACATTGAGCCAGTGGAGCCGCACACTCAATGTCGACGCCTTCATTTTGCTTTTGACTGGCAAGAAGGCTCAAAGGGAGTTTCAGGTGATGGCTTCTGTGGTGGGGCGTGCAGACTTACTCAGGGGGCGAGATGAGGCGGCTAGAGCCCATCGTCGAAGATATACAACGCCAAGAGAAGCGCAAGCCCGCTAGTGGGCGCCTACCGGAGCCAGCCGAGGGCAATGGCACAGTACATCGTGCGCTAGACAGGGAGGATGAGCCCCCATCTCATCATTCTCACGACTTCTTGAAACCGTCCTACAGCGTGCTAATGTAGGGGTTGACCAGGGGCCACCCACGGTCCCAGAGCCGTGGCATGCATGTTGCATTGCAGCATAGATTGGCAAATCTGCGGCGCTCTGGGATGTGAGAACATGTGGAAGCGATGACAAGACGGGCCAGTGTGCCCCCAGAATCCCTGGCAATAAGGCGATCACCATGATCTGCCCCAAGGCACATCTTCCCACCCATGGGCACATCCTCGGGCGACTGACGAGGTCGGCAGGCAGCCCGGCGCTAATCTCTACTGGAACTAAACACCATCCTGTTGACCCTACCCCAATATGTGCACCGTCTCAGATTGTATGGGCGGTCCTTGGCCAGATTGACCGACGGTCATCGAAATGATGGCCAAGTAGCTTGATTGTGCTGCTCAGGGTATACCTGGTGCGGTGTTAATCCACGAATCGGATCGTGAGAACCGGGAAGATACAGCACGTTAGACTTCTTATGATGAAGAGGATATCGCAATCTGCGAGTATTAACTCTCACGTTTGCAGGTAACAGGGTAACTGGATGGTCGCGATGCAGTCAGTGACGCCGAAAGCTCTCTACCGCACCAGCGCGAGATGACTCTGTCGGCTTACGGTCCCCAAACTTTCAACTTCTTTGTAACAATCTTCGCGGCAATTGACATTCCAGTGATTAACCATTCAAAGCCTTGCCAAAGAACGATAAATTGGATAGTATTGGTTGATTCAAGGTCTGAAGCAGCTCGCCGAGGCGCAAGAATCGTCAGAAGCTTTGATCTGGGTGGTTGTTTTTACCTTGTTATTCAGCATAAACGCCACTAATTTGCAACCCAAGTTTAGGTAGACTCCACGATTACCTTTACCAAGTTCGATGACTTTCAACCCCACTGTTCCGAAGGTTAACTTGTGAGACCCTACTCGACGTTGAGGCCAATTGAAGCCCCTAGAATGGCTTCAATACTTCTGGCGATAAGTTCAATCCACCTATTCAATGGTGGTTGATTATCATTGTCATCCTCGCCGGACACTAGCGATGCCCGAAACAGTATGTTGCCGGACATTTCAAATGTCCGAGACACTACACAAAAATGCCCTGGGCCGAGTCAGGACTTCCACTTTGCACACAACGGCATGCTACAAAGTACCGAAAACATTCACATTATCGGAGATCATTGGATCGTATGCAACGCCTTCATATTGCCTCTGCCAAGATTGAATGTGAGATAAGCGTGACGGCCTAAGGCGCTTGTCGAGCGGCACAGAACATCGTCCTGCGCGGCTATCATTTCGCCGCACGACTCAAGGGCGGCGCAGACGCAATGCGCCAAGAAACATCGTCAACGTCAGCGTTGTCTTAGCGGATTGGAGTTATGTCTGGGGAATCTGTCACAGGGGAGTCGAGCATAGGAGACACCTCCTCAGGCACGACAGCTCGCGCTTTGCAGGCACAGAAACCACAGCGGGTGCTTGCGTGCGTCCTGTGCCAGCAGCGAAAGGTCAAATGTGACCGCAAGTTTCCGTGTGCAAACTGCGTCCGAGGTGGATCTCAATGTGTGCCTGCTGCTTTAATTCGACGCCCACGGAAACGCAGGTTCCCCGAGCGCGAACTGTTGGACCGTCTCCAACGATATGAAGACTTACTCCGGCAGAACAATGTCAACTTTGAACCGATGCATAAGAACGCCTCTGATGGTCAAAGCTTGACGAGAGTGGAGACGCTGGGTGATTCTGATGACGAACACCCAAAAGCTACGGGATCAGATTGGTCGTCAGCATCTGCAACCATTAAGCCCGAGAAGCCATACGAGGCTAAGTACTGCTACCTCATCAAAGATTTTTATGTCTACATAGCTAACCAAGTTAGGGAGTTTTGGAACACTGTCAAACAAGTGGTATGGTTGGTCCTTTGAGTTTTCCCTTTCTGACATGGGACTGTACTAATAAGCCGAGAAAGTTTCGAGACTACGACTATGCTAGCGACTCTTCAACAGAGAATGTTCGTGATGCAAGTGTCGTCAATGCTTGGGACAAAACGTTTAGAGGGGCTAACGATCACTTCTTGCTTGGGACACGCAAGACACCCGTCGACCTATCCGTATTACATCCTGACCCGGCTCAGATTTTCAGGCTGTGGCAGATATACCTGGATAACGTTGATCCGCTGCTCAAGGTCACTCATCATCCTAGCTTGCAAGGACGCATCGTGGAAGCCGCCAGTAACATAATCAACATCAACACTACCCTTGAGGCAATCATGTTCTCCATTTACTGTATCTCTATCCAAAGTCTGTTGCCTGAGGACTGCCAAGCATTGTTTGCACTTCCAAAAGAGGATCTTCTGAGCAGATACCAGTTTGGTTGTCAGCAAGCTTTATCAAACTGCAATTTTCTGCAGACTGTTGATCGTAATTGCTTGACCGCGTTATATCTTTATCTAGTGCGTGTATTCCTTGAAAACATTTTGCTCATGTTAACATTGTCTACTAGGTATCGATTGGCCGTAGTACCCATCCCCGTGCACTATCCTCGATGTTAGGTGTGGCTATTCGCATTGCCCAACGGATGGGTCTTGACAGCGAGTCTACGTGTTCTAAACTACTACCATTCGAAGCCGAGATGAGCCGTCGGATTTGGTGGTCGCTGATGTTGTTTGACAGCCGCGTGAGCGAGCTGGCTGGCCATAAATCCTCCATATTATCGCCTACCTGGGACTGCAAAGTGCCCCTCAATGTTAACGACTCTGATATTCGACCTGGGATGAAGGAGCCTCCAGCATTGCAAGGAAAGACAACCGAATCCCTTTTCTCGGTTGTTCGAAGTGAGCTAGGAGACTTCGTTCGGCAGACCATGTTTCATTTAGAGTTCACTTGCCCAGCCTTGAAGCCAATCATCGACGATGACCAGCGTAGCCGCCCCCCGGACCGGGACACTCTGGCAACTCTGGAAAAGACGATTGAGGCCAAGTATATAAACTTTTGTAATCCAGAGAACCCACTCCACTTCATGGCAATTTGGATGACAAGGACATACCTTGCTAAATGTCGCCTGATCGAGCACCATTCTACATATTCTAGTTCTGTGGCCCACCAGACAGAGTCACAATATGACACTGCAATGGGATATGCGCTCAAAATGCTGGAGTACGACACCAAGATCTCAAGATCACCGCTTGCTAGAGGGTACATCTGGTTCCTTGACTATTTCTTCCCGTTCATGGCATACATGCATATCGTCCAGGATCTTAAGAGGCGACCAGTGAGCAAGCAAGCTCAAAGGGCTTGGGATGTGATGAGCGATCACTACGAAGCTCGTTTCTTGGGTCCTTGCCTCAATGACAGTTCTCACTTCGCTCTGTTCGCCAAGACAGTTATCCATGCTTGGGATGAATATGAAACTAAGTTCAAGCAATTAGGAAAGCCCTTGATAACGCCACGTATTGTTTCACATATCAAAGGTAGGCTGGCACGAGGTGCTACAGGGGTGCCAATCAGCAACATGCAGCAACATGGCGTTGACGCGGACATGAGTATACCTAGCTTGCCGCTACCGTTTACGTTCGAGGTTACGGGTATGTCGTCCGATCTAAGCGATCAGGATGACTTCAGTGGAGGAGTATTATACCCTGATATAATGGAACAGATGCCCTTGGATTCGGGAATGAGACAGTTAAACTGGGCTGCTATGGAGTGGGGACTTGAAGAACGCTGAGATTATAGGGCAGACAGCATGCGGTCTTAAAGGGCACACTCCTCTTACTGTATCACCATATGATACCCAACTCTCAAAAATCAAAGGCTAAAAACCAACTAGTGGACCATTTGTTAGAGAGTGAACCGGAGCCGGGAATCCTCAATCGTTGAGAAATATTTTCACCGTATGATGCCGCACTTTTCCTACTCTGGCTGAAAGCATATACAACCTTTTATGATTACTAATGATATCGATTGGTTGAACTGAAAAGCTGTAGATCTCAAGGCATGATTTTAATGTTTAGTATAAGCCCCATTCAACATCCTGGCTGTTGACATCTCCTTTACAGTCCATCTGGCCCTTGGCACCGACTTTACCACTGCCGCCAAATTGTTTGACGGATTCGGTGATGATATCGACGATATCCTGGGCCCCAATATAGAAGTCGATGTTGCCGTGCTTGTTAAGGCCCTGGATGCCGAATTTGCAGTCGCCATACTGAACAAGCTGGTGTTGCGTGCCAATGGCGTTTTCGACCTCCCACTCGCCCTGGGTACCTTTGATATTATTGACGATACCCATGCAGTCGTCTACCGAGGGAGAGGCATCGCTGGTTTGGTCGACAAACGAAGAATCCTCACAGTCGCTAATAGAAGGCTTGACATAGCAAGGATAGTTCTCGACGTCTTTATCCACGTCGGTATCTGACCAGGCTGCGAAGGCAACATCAGGGCTGCACACAGGAATGCGGATAAACCCGGGCGTGGTGACATCCTGGTCCATCAGATCATCGAGTGACCCGCCGTTGGTCGGATCTGTCTGGGCGCCACCGTTGGCGTTGCCGTTTTGGATATATGTGCGGACGGCACCGGTGATCAGATCGGACACGGTGACACCGCCAAAGCGCGACCCATCAAGCGTGTCGATACCTGGCGGTGCCGAGAAGTCATTGTCAGTACAGGTGACCGCGCAGCCATCGCAGCTGCTACAGTCCTGGGCATCGCCACTAGGATCAACGAGATAATACAATTTGCCATCATAGCAGCCTGCTGTTTTATGCATTGTGTCAGTGCTCAGGTACTCGTCCTCTGGGTCAACGGTGCCGCAGTCGTAGCCGGTGTCAAGAATAAAGGCTCGTGTACCGGCGACGGACCATAGAGCTGGAATGGCAAACGCGAAGAAGGCTTTGGAAATGCTAGCCTGGAGTTCCGCAAGCGTCGTGCCCCCCGCAGTGACATCTGGGTATGCCACGGCGTTGTTGACAGCACCCTCAATCATGTGGCCGTCGGCGATTAGGCTTGTTAACAGACTGACAGATGAATCCGTGCCGTCGAAAAGCTGTTTAAGAGACATCTCGGTAACATTACCCCAAGCAGAGACTACCTGACCCATGTAGTCGGAGAAGGCATCTTGCTTTTCAGCAGTCCAATCCGAGCTGTATATTTGATCATTAGCTCATCAGGAGCACAAGAGCGGCATAGAAAGCTAGCTAGTATGGGGATCCCTTACTCGCCGCCTTTGCCTGAGAGTGTTCCAGCAATAGACACGCCGAAGGACACCAAAGCCTTTCCTGTGTCCTTCCAATTGTCGTATGAGACCGAGTTCGCCCTCCAGTATGGCATTGACTTCAGGACTAGAACGCAGCGTCAGCCATCCGTAGTAGGAAGGGGGGATGATCACCATTGGGAAAGATTAAGTCAACACATACTAGTGTTCAAGAAGCCGGATACGGCAACAGTGCCTACTAAATTTGTGCATGCTAAGAGGATTTGCAGCCATGTGTCATCGTATGGGGGTGGAATAGGTGCAAATTGGTTCTCGAAGTCTTTGAGCGCTGGGTCCAGAGACGCCGCGGCAGCTTGGTAAAGGGCAGTAACGTAGCTCGCATACATCTGGATTGGAATAGTCGGTTAATATATACGGCGTTCAATATACGAAATGTCCCTCCATCCCTCACATACCTCATGGATTATAACCATGGAGTTCCAAATCTCGTAGCCGGCCGCACCTGAGCCACCGCCCTGGAAGCCAATGCACTGCAAAGTCTGCTCACAGTTGTTGGTAGTGAGCAATGATCCACAGTCGGCTAGCTCGGGTCCGTGAATGGTGTTCGAGACAGACATAGTGAAGTGTGTGCCCTTAGCCTTGTCGAAGTCATTCCATACATCGATGACATCGGACCAAGCGTCAGGTCCATCCACTATGTCGCAAAAGGTCAGCGATTATCGGGTTAGGAAATAGAGGACTAGGCAAGGGCTTTGATAGGAACGTTTCAAACCACTTTCTAACCTCGAATTTGGCTGTTGTTTTTATATTCCAAAAATAAAAAGAAAGGAAAAGTCCCCTAGAAAAGTAAGAGACGAGATTGAAAAACAATACTCACTCATGTTCCAGCGCTGCTGAGGCGTCAGGCCGTTGATATTTTGCACGGACTGGTCGTCACAGGCTATGTCGGTCCAGTTGCCGTGTCTATCCCCCTCAGCATACGGATCTACACCGACTTTGATATTGAGCTTGAAAGAGTCCCATGAGTTACTGGTGTCCGGGGCATCATTGTATGACTCAAGATCGCTGGCCCAGTTGGTGGTACCTCCCATTGCCAGCCCTTTGTAGAGCGCAGAGCGTTGAGAACGGATGGAGTCATCCATAAAGGCTACCCATTGAATGTCATCGTAGACAACAACACGGCTGTTGCTCGTGCTGTCAACAAAGTTCTGGTTGACGCGGCTGGAATTATTGTTGACGATGTCATAGATTTCGGCGTCTGAGATATAGCCAGCCGTACCAGTACATGGGCCTTCGGCGGCGTTAGACTGTGTAGCAGTGCCAGTGTACAAACAGTCATGCGTATAGCAACCGGCTTGGGCCATAGCAAACGAACGACCGTAGCTGCTTACGCCGACAACGACTTTGTTTGAAGCCACACCAGCTTTGGTGACCTGCAAAGAGTGTCAGTCGAAGTGGGCTCAGGTATTGAAAGACGTTAAGGAGAATTGGTCTAGGGTACTCACCATCGCCAGGGCAGTCTTAGTCTCGGTTAGATTGACGTGGCTACGTAGGCACATTCCGGTGCTGCAACCCTCCTGCGAGAACTGGTTGTTCGCATCCCATTGGCCATGAAGATCATATGTCATGAATACGATGTAGTCAACAACCTTGGAAATCTTGTCAATGGGAAATGCTTTGAGATACCAATAGGAGGCGGGGGCGGCAATAGAAATCGTCTTGCCAGGAAGCAGATTCTTGAGCACGACTAGGAACGCGAGATAATTGGTTCCATCATCATCATTGCCAGCAGGTATGCCAGGTATATCAGGCTCCTGTTGAGGGTTAGAAGCTATGCGAGAGACGAGCGTTAGCTTACGGAAACACTCACCCCTGGATATTCCCAATCAATGTCAACGCCGTCCAGGTTGTTATCCTTGATAAAATTGGCAATCTTGGTGGCCATGGTCAGGCGATTTGCAGATGTGACACCGGTACGGAAAATGTTGTAAGTGGCTGGCTCGGTCGAGAAGGCCCAGCCGCCAAAAGAGAGCACTCGCTTGACGTTAGTCAGTCGCTGGAAAGCATTGAATTCGTAGGTGCTGAGATCATCTCCCGTCGACACCTCATAGTCGGCGCTCAGCACGCCGAAAGCAAAATGAATGTGTGAGAATTTGCTCGTGTCGATTTGGCGCGCATCCTGGTACAGGCAAGGACGGCCGAAGCTGTAGCCTTCGTAGTAAGCCAGGCTGATGAACTCGGCCGGTGCGCTGCTCTTCACCACGTCAGTGCCACAGTTCGAGATGCAGCCATTAGTTCCTGGCTTGGCTGTTCCAGGCGCTCCCGTATTTGTGTCGGTGCAAAACTCGGCTGTTATACCGCACTGGCCCCAAATATCACAGCAGGCGTTGAGCGGGCACGGGTTGAGGCTCGAAATGTTAGCCGTGCCGCTGGACGGCGCCGTAGTGCCGGGTTTTTGAGGGCCACACACGGCATTTGCAAGGGGCGCAGGCATAGGCGGCGTGCCGCTGCTAAGACAGATGATATTGCCAACATACAGCAGACTGCAGCCGTTCCATGCCCACGTGTTTTCGTTGTAGCTTTCAATCTCATCAGTCGTCAGGCTGTTTGCAGCGGCAATGCCTGAGCATGTGTCGTCGGTTACAACCGTATAAGTTGCGCACGACCCGTCACTGTTCGGCTTTGGCGTGAAGTCATGCAATGTGCCAGCTGAGCAGCACACGTGCTGTAGTGGCACTAGAGTAGAACAGAGAGTTGAGCTGGGATTGTACTTCGTAAAGTCACTCGCCGAGATGCCGCATTTGCTAGCCAATGACGCACAGCTATCACCCGAGGCCACCTGAATCGTGGTGCAGTCAGCACGACGTTCTAAGCTACTGCCGCGTATCGTCCGTCGGGTTGCGCTACCTGAGAATGTTGCATTGGTTCCATTGACCGTTCCATTCGAGGCTAGTATCAGGGGTGTCATGAAGCTGGCCGTGCTGGTGATATTCTGCGTCGTTGAGAACGCCAGACATGTAGCGTTTGCCCATGACTGCAGCGCCTGTTGGATTGGAGTGAAGGAAGTGTTACTAATGGCAATGAACCCAAAGATGTGATCACCATCATAGCCTTCTCCGCACAGCTCAAGAGCTACGCTGCCGCCTGTATTGTTGGAGCCATATAACGAATTCTCCATGGCCAGGAGTGCGTCACTCGCCGTCGGCTGAACTTCAACGTACTTTCCCATGTAGAGACCGGCCGTGCTGCTGACGGTTTGCGCAAACAATACAAATGGCGCATTGTTCGCCCCCGTGAAGCCGTCGGCCATGAAGCGGCGCATCTGTTTTGACAGAGCGCGCAGATCAACACGCTGGGGAGCCAAGTCACCCCAGCGGCCAAGCGTAAAGGATGCATTGTTCAACGTCTGTACGGCGGCCTTATCCGCGGCGGCCTCAATGCCCGCCTTCTTTGTCGTGCCGAATGAAGTGCAGGCATAGATGCGGTGCGGCATACTGCCAACGTCAACCGCATCGTGGAGAGAGAAGTGGTAGAAAACTGTCTCTTTGCAGTGTGCCACTTGGTCCAGATTGTGATATGCTGTCCAGTTGGCCGGGTCTGGACCCGACACGCTACAGAGGGTTGGGCAGTTGTTCCGGCCCTGGTAAGACACCGCTGCGGGTTGCCGTATGTGAGCTTGTAAGCCCGACGCAGCCTCCACGGACCCGAAGGCGAGGAAGAGGCCCGCAGTGGCCAAGGCAGCTGCCAGTTGTGAAGCGGGGAGCATCACGTCGGCGAGGTAAAATACAATTAATCAACGAAGACAGCACCAATGAGATGAAGTAGCCGAGCCAAAGCGACTGAGGCGGCCGATATGGCTGCTGCTGGATTGCTGCTTGCCTAGTGGCCCTGCTCACTTCGCTGAGAAGCAGGCGAGGAGCAAGACTGGCTTATGTACAACCACTCAGGCGTCTACATACTCCAATTGACTCAATCAATGAGCACACGTTCCTCGCCAAGGCGTTTCTGTAACATAAATCATGACCGAGGAATAGATCCTCCGACACACTGCGCCATTGCTCGGCCGCCATAGGATCGGTACGAGTGCGGTGGAGATGTTCAGGGGCATGACAACCGCGGCAACGCAACGTTCACACTTTACAGGTCATATGAGCGCGGCCCCCAATGTTTGGGTGCGTTAAGCATCATGTAATAAGAAAATAGGACAAAATCGGCATGTATAAATGCTGCCGTGCCATCAAAGGATCTAGCACTGGAGTCTAGCCCACCTCCTGGCGCTCTGCTCGGTAGGGCCGATACGTCTACCCATTCTCGGCACTCGGTGAATAAACTTGGAAGCATATTAAGAGATTGCCTAGTAAAAGGGCTTCCTTCTGAGATAGGCTTCCCATCCTAATCAAAGGCACTGCCTCCTGCCGAAGCCATAGGAAACCGAGGCTCAGGCGCGGGCACGGCACGTTCGCCTTGTCACCTTGAAAGGCCGCCATACAGACTACAGAAGAGAAGAGGGGAAAAGCAAAGCAGAATGTTGCAAAGCATAGCAAATAAATCAGATATGTGGGAAATGTACGCATATCCTACGCTTCTCTCCGCGAGCTGCTACTCGCCTGGTCTACACATACAGCAAAGCCATGAAAGCTATCAGCCCACTCGACAGGACCATGTATCCAGTATCTAACCTTATCGAGGCCATATTGTGAGATGTGCAGCTCACGATAGAATTTGGGGCTGAGCAGGCCGTTGCCGTAAGGTTGGCCAAGATACTGCTCGCCGTGGCGGAACTGACTTGAACTGCACATGGGTCTCCCGCTACCAGCGGCTGTGAGTCTGAAAAGACGGCGCACATGCTGCGGCCATCATATTGCGATGGTAGAGTTACGTCTAGCGTACCAGTGAGGTTGAAAGCAAAGTGGCTCATGTTGCTGCATGAGTCGCGATTGGCCGTAGCCGCCACGAGGTCAGGCTCCTGTGCGCCGCTTTGAATTGTGAACTCCATGCTATTGTCCCGAAAGCCGCCACCAAACGTCAAGGCGCCGCCATTGGTAGAGCAGTTACCGGCACTAAAGGCCCAGGTTAGGCGATACGATACCGCCTCACCGCCGTCCGTTGTGTTTAGCCCGGTAACATACGTATATACATACGTAGGGTCGCTATTTGAGAAGTTTGTTGTCGTTAAGTCCAACGCAGGGCTATGGTTGGTAGTGTTGCGGCCGGATGTATCCCAGAGCGTTAGGTCGAAACCTGGGTCGAGCGATGGCGCCAGTTCCGCGTTCTGGAAGGCGAAGACGATTGGGAAAAGCGAAGACGGCGCGTATGTATCGTTGCGAGGGAAGATCAAGTCAACTTCCACCGTAGCTGGGAAGGCCATGGCACCAGCCTGTGTTGCCCATAGAAATGCGGCTGGCAACATGGTGAGAAGCGAGAGGGCGTCCATCTTAATGATGGATGGAGCAGTAAAAGCCAATGAGTAAAGCGAAGTTCAACTATCGCGGGTTGAAGAAAGATGCTTTCGAATGGAGCAGTGGAAAAGGCAAAAGTTGTTAACTGTTCAGACCTGAATGGGGTGCCGAGGAGACATGGAGCAGACAGAGGAAGCATCAACATGGGTGAGACTAGACGTTCAGGGGGTAGGCATGATAATTGAGCATGGCAATCTACCTTCACGAGCCGAGTCTCGCCACGTGCAGCCAAGTACTGCCAAGTGTAGCCAAGTGCGCCCTCCCGTGTCTGCGGGATCTGCTATCGGCCCCCACTCGATCCACCTGGAGGCAACTCGACAGGGCTCGGTCTTCCCTTGAACTTGCTGGTTCCATACTGACCAATCATGGCACGGGACTGAGACCGTGGATAGTTTTGATACAACGTCACGTCTTCCATTTGTTCGGTCGACGTTTTTGTCCTTTCATGGCGATGGCACGGTTGCTAAGTAGAAACCAGGATCTGATCCAGACTCATTCTCATGACATGTAAGACCGCAGAGCTAATTCCTTGGCAAGCTCGTCGGACATGCCCTCTTAGAGAAGGGACCAGGGACATTGATACCAAGTTCTAGGTCTCGCGTTGTGAGCGTGATTTAAATAGCCGCAGAATGGTATAAATGGCCATGATGCAAACCCACCATCCGTTGGTTCGATCTTTGCTCATTGCGCCGTCCTGGTCACAAATCGTCTCGTTGCTCTGATAGTCCCCCATTTTCCATACTTTTATCAATTAGTTGGACAATTAAAGCCATGGGCCTTGCTTTTCTTCTTGCCTTGGGCATAGTCCCTCACTTGATCGCGGCACGCGTCCTCCAAGTCCGTCAGAATGTGTCCTGCGACTTTGAGACTGCCGCCAACAACGGCGACACTTGTGCATCTTTTGCCGCCGGGTGGGGTCTGACGGAGAGCAGCTTTGCGGCACTCAACCCAGGTGTCTCATGTCCGGGCAATCTGGTTGCCGGACAGAACTACTGTGTCATTGGTACAGTGACAGCAGCAACATCTACTACAACTACGGCTAAGGCGACAACGACCGCCAGTACCACGGCTAAAGCTACCACAAGCTCTAGCTCGACTAAGGTGTCTACCACACCGGTCACGACCACAACATCTTCTTCGTCATATGAGCCGACTCAGTCAGGCTTGGCCGCTAACTGCAACAACTTTCATCTCGTGGTCTCCGGGGATACCTGTTCTGTCATCGAGTCACAGTATGGCATCAGTGGCGCTGACTTCGCGACATGGAACCCTTACATTGACTCAAGTAAGTCACCAAACTTTGAACAAACAATTTTTATTCTTAAGGCATACTAACCCCGCCAGCCTGTGACAATCTCTGGCTCGGCTACTACGTCTGTGTTGGTGTGCCGGGCGCAAGCACGATTACGACCACCTCTACAGCACCTGCCACGACTACTTCCAGCGGGCCATCACCACAGATGCCTAGTATCGTGAGTAACTGTAACAAGTATTATCAAATCCAGTCCGGTGATGGATGTTGGTCTATCGAACAGGCTCAGGCCATCACATCAGACCAGTTTCTCTCGTGGAACCCTTATGTAGATGCTAATTGCGACAACCTGTGGCTCGGATACTACGTCTGCGTGGGTGTATCTGGTGCGACTAGCACAAAAGCAACGACCCCAACTACTACTACCACAGCTACGCCAACAGGTCCCTCGCCCCAGATGCCCAGCATCGTTAGTAACTGCAAGAAATTTTATCAGGTCCAGTCTGGTGACGAATGTTGGTCTATCGAACAAAATCAGGCTATTACTTCGGCTCAGTTCATGTCCTGGAACCCTTACGTCGATGCGAATTGTGATAATTTGTGGCTTGGCTACTATGTCTGCGTTGGTTTGTGAGAGTGGAAACTCCGCTTTGAAACCACACCGTGTATCTCTCAATAGGATAGTTTGATAGTCTTAATGCCTAGAGTTCTATACCCATTTTGTGCGACTTCTAGTTCGCCCTATTTTCGACCCATTTTAATTTCTGTTCACGGCGCCTTTGGCAGGCATCTTTATTAAGTGAAAACATTCATAAGAATATCACATCACCCCACAAAGCGCAGCTATGCTTAAACGCCTTTACAGACACCCCGATTAATAGTCCCTGCGGGGGACGGACAGTTCCTAAAGGAGATGTGTGACTGGCAGATACATTAAGGACATCCTAACAGCGGGTCATGCAGAGGCTTGCATCTGCCTTCTTCTAGGGGTTTTGGACAAGGATCAAAGAAGCTTGAAATGAGCGCCAACTTCGGTCATTAAGTGGATTTGCTGTCATTTAACGCCACAATTAGCTCGAAATATTCTCGATTCGTTCCTATCGTGTGGGGCTCAATCTTCATGTGCATCCAGTCTTGCCAGTCTATCCTACGCTAATCACAAGTGATTCCACGAAGGATTTGGTTTGGTTGCTTACTGTTGGGAGAATGGCTGTGTCCTTGCATAATTCCCCTTTTCTCCCTTCACTCTTCCGGACCGGAGTATTCAAGTCCGTATCTTGATTGCGGCACAGACGCGCGGGAAGCGACCGGCCCGGCCATTTAGAGCTCGGTATCGATGCACGTTTCCGCCACCCCGGTCATACGACCCCAGTCATTAAGCGCGCGCATTCTAGTACCATAGGTAGTATTATTCTTGACGATAGAATCCTGGAGGAGTACTTACCCTGTCGTTTTATCGAATGCTTCTTTTATGATGAGCTCGCTTTCCTGCAAGCCGGAGGCTGGCACGAGACGATCCCGTGGCATGACACGACAGCGGTAATTCAATACTTTGCCTTTTCGACGTTGTCTCGCTGGTCGAGGCACAGAAATCATCTCAAGAATAGCCGAGATTTTCTAAACTGAACAGGAAAGTGACATATACATCCGCTCATTCCAGTAACGGTCGGTGATATAATGCTCTTATGGACAAGTTCGATCACATTACGTGTCACATCGAGCTAAGAGCAAAAAGATAAAGACTGCAGTCTACCAAGATGTATCGCGACAACCCTCTTGCTAGGCATGTTGATTTTAAGAATTGTCTTACTAGAGTAGGTATATGACCTGGTGATGTATCTGTGGGCGATGTCCGGATTGTGTGTGCTCCTTCCGAGACACTGTGTCAGAGCAGATTTCCTATCAACAGTGGTCAGAAGTCACAATGAGAATCAAAATGTGTTGGTGAATGTGAATGCACATTTCGTGAGATCAAATTATGTTGACTAGTAAATTTGAGAAGTGAGTGTATAGAGGCTTGATTGGAGAGGTTTCCAGGAGTGTTCGTACAAGTTT